ATTTTATTTTAATCCATTATAGATTTCTAATCTACATCATCTAACCTACAATTTTTTATGGAGTGTCAATAAATCTTGTCACTTTTTGATCTCTTTTTCTGTTCCTTGTTCCAACAAACGACAGTTCCCTCTCTCTGCATGCAATGAAATGGGCTGAGATGTATTAAATCTTACGTTATTATAAATTGGCCAGTTTTTAAGATGCCTCAGGACTTTTTCAACCTAAGGAGACAGGCAAATTTACTACTTACAAGTAAAAAAAACAACAACCGGATAATACTATTCCTTCCCCCATTCATCTTATATCCGTTTTAAGATTCTTCATCATTTTTTTTGATTTGCAGCAAATTCTATATTAGACATGAACTGAAAGAAGTGGCGGAAAAACTATCAGAGGTCATCTAACAATTGTCTAGAAGTTGCAATTTAGCTAAGCCATAAACTAGTTGACAAGCCAAATATTTGGGTTGTTGTAAGGTGGGCTTCTGCCAGCCTAGCAGTTCAAAAGCAAAAATGCAAGTAGAAAAATAGGAACCACCTTTAGTGGGAGGGTAACAGCGTTCCGTGCACCTTTGGCATTTAGTCATGCCAGCCACATGACCGCAGCGATGTCTTCGGACAGCGCTGGCTCTTGGGCTTTGAAACCAAGATGAGCACCGCCCCCTAGAGTCGGGAATGACTAGCACATATATGCGAGGGGAACTTTTACCTTTAAGATGGGCAGCTAATAAATTTTACAAAATATAGATGGGAGGCGGGAGGGGAGCAGGCAGACAGAACCAAATGACTGGGCTAAATCAAAATATTGAACTGGTTTAATGTTAGCACGTTTGGTGAATTAGGTCTTAAATTGCTTGCTCAGCCTGAATCTAAAAACTAAGTCACAAGAGTGTTCCACTGAATCCAATGCCACTTCCAAACCAGTGTTTCCTAAAATGCGGTCCAAAAATCCCTCGGGGGTTCTACATCAACATTATTTGCCAGCATATGTTGAAAAACAATGCAATATTAAATTCCGATGAAACCATTGTGAGAAGCAGCAGTGGCACCAAAACCATCGATTTTAAATTTTATTACAGTAAATATCAATATGAAACATGTAAAGAAAAGTTCTTTTGGAATTTTTCCACATTACGCATGCAAACGAAAAAACATTTTTTTGGGGGGGGGACTCCTCCATAATTTCCCCCAAAGGGGGTGGAGTGTTAAGAACCCTGTTGTAGGCAGACCCATCTCGAGCACGATTGCCGCCACAACAACAGCGAAAACCACCTCGAACTTCCCCCGCGAATCAAGAAACTTGGCTGAAGCCCTCTCAAAGGAGGATTGGGAGAAGGAGCGGCGGAGGGCGGGACTTGCGTGCCATTCGCTGGAAATGATTGGAAGATATTTGAGAAAAGGGCCGGCTTTTGCTAGATGGGAGGCGCGACAACTTGTTGGCTCGTGTCGCGGGTTTTCGGGAAGTCGGTCGCTCTAGCTGTCCATTGTCCGTGATTTCCGGTCGCGGAGGGTCCAACTTCCGAGCAACTGAGGGCGCGCTGTCACGTCGGCGCCAAGTTGGTGAGTGCCGCGGGGAGTGACGTGGTGGCTAGGCTGTTGTTGCGCCCTCCGGGGGAGTCCTTTGCTCGACGGAAGGAAGCCTCCCGGGCGGTAGGTGAGGCCGACCGTGTTGAGGGGCGAAGGGAGAAAGCGGGGGTCCGTCTCTTTGGGGGAGGGGGGCAACTTCCGGCAGCGCTTCCGAAATAGCCTGCCTCCCCTCCCCCCATCCCCCTGACCAACCTCCCTCCACACGTGCTGGATTACTGTTTTGTTTTGTTTTTATCTCCAGCTAATCTGGCAGGGGGTAATCTGTCGTGTCTTCCTCGGGTTGGGAGGATGAATCCCTTTGGATCACGATTCCCCCCCCCCTAACACGTAATCTTGTTTCTTGTCTCCTTTGATCCAAACGGTGACATTAAAAATAAACGTTCCTACATTTAGTTGTAACTTGGATGTCTGTCGTCTGTGTCAGTAAGGTAGGAATGTGTGTGTGTGTGTGTACTGACGCAGAGGACAGGCATCCTCTGTGTTTTATTTATACACACACACACTTATTTGTAACTTGGATGCCTGTCCTCTGTGTCTATGTCTGTCTATCTATCTATCCATATACACCCACACACAGAAGATTAGGTTGCTGGTAGCTGTTTGAAAAGCAAGAGAGACTCCTGTCCTTGGGCAGAATGACAGCTGTTCCCTATTTGTATTGTGTACACAAGGGAGGAGTTCATTCCCTCTGTAAAATGTAAAAGGCTGTGCTCTGTTGCTTTCTTTGGCAATAACACTGTAGGTGAAGAAACCTGTTAGTCTGTGGTAACCAGAAATCAGGAGTCTGATAAAATACCCTTTCAGACTAATGCATTTTAAGATAACCTTTAATATCATCTTTTAAGTACAGTGGCCCACATTAAAAATGAAATGTTGCCCGCTCTCAAAAGAAAGTATATAGCTACTTATACACATATACACATGTTAATGAATTTTGCTAGTCTGAAAAGATGCTGAAGTGTTACAAGAGACCTGTTTCTTGATTATCATAGACTAATACCAATATTCTGTGACTCTTGTGTCTAGCAATTTTGGATGAAGTGGAAATCCATAAAATTTAGGAGCTAACATAGATACAAATGGACATCCTTTTGCTAACCAAGTGCCAACAATGTGACATTTTGAAAAGACTGAAAGAACCCTCTGTTGTACAGCCTACAGCAGAGACTGCAGCCAAAAATTATGCTGTTTTTTTCCAAGAAAATTCCTAGACTATCTTATCAACTTTGGTTAGAGCAAGCAAAAACTAATCTCCACTGTCTTAAAATTGTTAGCTGAAAAGCTGCTCCCAGAATTTTGATTAGTTTGTTATGACTGCTTTCTGGGATGGGTTTCCCCTACACACCCACACACTTTTTAATCTAGCCTATAGCCCTGGGATTTCCTTGTGGTCTCCCATCCAAATAATAGACAAGTGTGATTCTGGTAAGTGTATTTGCTAGGTGCTGCTAGCTTGTTTCAGAACTGGACAGTGGAAAAAACTATTATCCCACCTCTTTTCCCGCCAATTTGTTTTGTCAGTCACAGAAGGCTACTAAGATACTTTTTAAATGAGAACTGCCTGTGTTATTTCACAAAATGATAGTGTTAAAGCAAACTGCATCTGTAAAGTTAATTAACACTTGGAGATAAGACACAACATTTTCGGAAGAGCTTCCTCAAGTTAGAAGTTAACTGAAATGTTTGCATACTTTCCACGTGGCTGGGAATGACAGATGTATTCAAAACATAGAAAGCTACCTTTTTTTTTGAAAGTTCTACTTGGCTTTTAAAAAGTGTTCTTTTATTTTTGGGAGGTGGGCTGATTCTGATAGACCAGCAGAACCCAGAAATCATCTTGTCCTAAGGTTACCCAGCTAAAATGCAAAAGTACAGTGATTTTAGTAGAGATGCAGGTTGTTATGTAACAACTTGTGATTGGCATGGCTGTTTGACAGAAAAAGGCAGCCTTGTATATTGAGACAGAAGAAATGTTTTTCCTTAGAGTACCTTGCAGCCATTTTGTTGATGCAAGTAGGAACACTCAGCCATCCTGGAGACAGTCCAGATTTCTTGTTTATTAATTTCTCGGGAGCTTGCTAATGGTTGTCTTGCAAGTTCTGTTTCAGCTCATTCCTAATTGGAGGCAACGACAATCTCCTGATTGTGTTTACCAGGCATGGGCATTAATACTCTTTCCCTCCCCCTATCTTGTTTATCATATTATATTTTCTTTATTATTCCGTTCTTTGTATGGTTTGTTGCAGCATAAAACGAAATGTTCTTTTCTGACATTATTGCAATGATCTGGGTGGCAGCATCATACTGAATTTAAAAATGGTCTGATGCTTCCAAATGTTTCACCTTCCTTGCAGCATAAAAAAGAAAAAAAAACAATGTGGTGTGATGGCTGCATTACAATGATTATAATTACAGCTTCAAGGATTGTTTACATGCAAACTGTCAATTTGTGAGCATCATTTGTTGCTCAAGTCTCCAAATAGAAGAATTAAATTGTTCATTTGCATGCTTTATTATAAGTTTTTAAAAAAATATATGTTCCCCAACACTGGAAGTTTTTAAGAGGATGTTGGATAGCCATTTGTCTGAAACAGTGTAGGGTTTCCTGCCTAGGCAGGGGGTTGGACTAGAAGACCTCCAAGGTCCTTTCCAACTCTGTTATTGCATTGTATTGTATGTGCATAATTTTGTATTTATTTATTCTTTCATGATAGCAATAGCAATAGCAGATTTTTATATACCGCTTCATAGGGCTTTCAGCCCTCTCTAAGNAATCCGGGTCCTCATTTTACCCACCTCGGAAGGATGGAAGGCTGAGTCAACCCTGAGCCGGTGAGATTTGAACCGCTGAACTGCTGATCTAGCAGTCAGCTGAAGTGGCCTGCAGTACTGCACTCTACCCACTGCGCCACCAGTGATTATGTAGTACATATTGGAGGTAGTGACCCTTTGAGAGTTGTATGCAATGGAAATTCATTTTAATGTATGCTGATTGGTGTACATTCAAAGTGACAATAAAGTTATTCTAAATTATTCTAAGTCTTTAAAATTTAGACTTTAAAAACAAGAATGGAATCAGAAGTACAATATGCTTTAGAATGTGGTCAAAGTAGTAACTCTGTAACTGAGGGAACACTTACATTTTAAGTGATGTGCTTGAGTCCAAATTCCAAAAATTATGAATAGAAACAAGAAGTTTGAAATGCAAATGTCAATCATAGAATATAAATAGTCTCCAGTGAAGCATCATTGTTTTTAAGAGGAACAAATCATCCAAATGACCCCTTTCCAACCTTTTCCAGGTCTGTTGATCTTGCTGGCTAAAAATTCTATAATTTTTAATCCAATACATTTATTGTAGCATTTTGTTTTAAAAAGCTTAAAATACCAATTGATTCCTGGTGATTACCGGTATATGGATAAAAAACATGTGGTATTTTGATACAGAATAATTATGGTTTGTCAGCATCTTTTTTGGGATGTTTGCCTAGTTTACAAACTTGATATTCCATAATGATGTCCTGTCCTACTAGCCTTCAAAGCAGAGTTTTTCCGTAGAGATTTACAACAGTAAAAAATACACATTTTAGTCTATAGTAGTAATTGAAATGCAATATATTAACAATGAAAACACAGTCAGTAAACATGCATTTAAAATATTGTAGTAAATGGTAAATATATTATAAGGCTTGGGGAAGTAAAGTAATTTTGCTTGGTGCTAGAAAGTTTCTAAAGTTAGAACCAGGTATGCTTCACTGTGATGCAGAAGATATTCTTACCATTGAGAAGATCCACTGCCAGGCAACCAGTTGTCACATTTTAGCCGGAGAAGGCAACTACTGTAGGACTTTCAAAACTGGACTCTAAAGTTACTGATAGGAATATATATATGAAAAGATTCAGACTGTGATCCCAAACGTGGGAAGACTTTTAAAGGTTAGTTTGAAGACCTTGAATTGAGACTGGAAATGAGTTGGCAGCCTGTGAAGGGTGTAATGCAAACAGTTAAGCTTCTGTGACTGTATTTTGTACTAATTGATGTTTCAGAATGGTCTCTAAGGATAGTCCCAATTCAGTAATCTAATCAAGTCTCTGTTGAGTTGAGTTCATCTCCTGGTGTCCTTATAGAGACCTTTCTTAGCAACAGTTTTGAAGTAGTTTTCCAATGTCATCTACTGGGATTTATTTATTTTCTCAATCTATACCTGAGGTTTCTTGTCAATCTCCTATGGAATCTGTCTGCTTGCCTGCTTACCTATCTACCTATTCAGCTGTGAGATTAGTAATAACCAAATCTGATCCTACATAGCTTTCACTAGTTCAGTTAGGTAGGTTATGAAGTGTAGAACATCTTTATCATCGCTTAATAATTCTCTAATGTCTGTCAATACCATCTGATTATCTGAATGGATTAATTTGGAAGATACTATGCTTTAGTTGTACATCTACCAGGTAAGTTTGAGCCACCTCCTAAATTTCAGGTTGTTCTTGATTAATTTTTCTTCACCATCAAAGGTTAATGAATGCAACTATCTGATGATATTTTAAATGTTATTACTATGTATCTTGCTGGGATTTCTACATATGCTTTAAAAAAAAAGTATTTTTAAAAAGTTCTTCTTTTGTGTGTGCTTCTTCAGGCAACCTGGAGCATGTAAAGTAACCAAGGAAACTGAACTTCAGTATGTGGTATATTATGCAGAGCATCCAGAGTAAATATTCTTTGTCAGAGCGCTTGATCCGGACTATAGCAGCCATCCGATCTTTCCCGCATGACAATGTTGAAGACCTAATAAGAAGGGTAGGTGAAAAAAACCTAAGACAAACTTTTAGTTGCTTTTTTTAAAGGTTCTGGGAATGTTTACAAGGTCTAGGAGACCGAATCTGACTTTACTTGTGTTGGTTGCAGTTTTAAGTAATGATACCTTTGGAGTTATTTAAAATCCCCTGTTGCTTCCTCCTAAATTAAATTTATCAGGTTTGATAGAGAATGTAGACCCATCCTTTTCAAATGCAGTTAATACAGGTGGTGCCTCACTTACAGTCATTTCTTTAGTGATCGTTTAAAGTTACAACAGCACTGTAAAAATAATAAGAGAAAAAGAAAAACACAAAAGGAACAAAACACAAAAATACATGTATTATAAAAAATATAACTAATGCTTTAAAAGTGAAAAAAATCAATAAAAATACATAGTATGTCATTGCAACAGTAAGTTACAATTCTATGTATAATCTAATAAAACATGCAAGTAAATACACGCGCACACACAGTTATAGTAAATACGTAGGGTTGTGTGTGTATATAAAATTCCTGTCTCACCCTTTTGGGTGATCTATGCCATCCTATGCATATTTCTATAGTTACATAAGTGTATTCTATTTCTAATACTCTTATATAACTACAAACGCTTCAACCTAATGTATTTTATATAAGCCAGTCCCATATTTCATTATATCTCTCTATACAAAGTGTACTGTATGTCTACAGGGAATCCATAAGTAGCAAGTATAATGAGGACTTTGTTCCTTCAGTAAATGGGGCCATAAATTTATCATTCCATTATTGTAGTATCAGTCTGGACACACAGAATCCATTTATTATGTCCTGTTGTCAAATTGCATGAACTAGATTTATAATCCAAGAGAATATTATCCTCTGAAAGCTCGAGCTTCTCTCATCGGGCTCATTTATTGCCAAATATTAAATACTGGAAGCTGATGAATAGTGTTAACTTTCCAAGTTTGGCAACTTGGAATATACATATATCTGCAGCTTTGGTTCGATGGATAGTATTATGATCTAAATACAATAGACTTCAAGTATCTCTGGAAACAATTGTAGTTAGAAAGCTATGGAATGGAATGTTTACAAGCTAAAATATTTGATCCTTTTTCCCACTGGCTTTTTGGGGAAAGCAACATTAAAAATTGAGAAAAAGATGGTGATATGGAAAGATTGGACGAAAATAGAGATTTGACTTTAGGCCAGTTGATACCACGATAAGGATGAATGTGCTAAGAAATAAATATCTATCAAATGTAACTCAATGGCAATATTTACAACTGCTGTACATTTGTTAATGTTGTTTGGCCCAGATGTTTTTTCAGTACTTACTAGAACAACTAGTTAAAATATTTTAACACTAAAAAGACTACTGTTAGTTTCTATAGATTTGGTTATCAATAAATCAATTTAATATACAGATATTAAAAGATGACTGGAATAAAGACTTATATTGTAGATTCCATATTACCTTAGATAATTAGAGAGTGTCTTCTATACCAAGAGCGTTAGCAGACATTAAACTACAATTTATACAACAAAGAATAATATTTAGAATTTATTAGAAGACATTAAGTTGAGATAACAGTAGTTTTTAAACCGCAGTTGATTTCGGTGCAATGTGGGAAGAAGACTTTAAATAGCCTTCTTTAACCTGGTTGCATCAGATAGTCATGCTGGTAGGAATTTCTGGGGATTGTGGTCTCAATCCTGGAAGACATTGTGGTGGAAGCTCACGTTAGCCCTCTTGCAAGAGGAAGATGTAACCTTGGTTGTGAAGTATGCCACTCTAGGCAAGAAGTGTGAATAAACTGAGAACTGAGTGAGAGACACAGCAGCAGATAAGACAATGTATAGCTGTAACATTTAATACCATATCTTAAATTTGGTAGTTCTTTAAGGAGTTGCTGGATTTCTAGCATAATCATGTGCGTCACAGTTCAGGAAATGGTGGGAAAACACACTAAAAATAATACCACTTCGTTTTCTGAATCGATTTGCATAACGCCTAATATTGTAAAGTTTGGTTTTTAACTTTCTCCTGGGAGAAAGATTTTGTCATGGAATTAGCAGCTCCAGAATTGGCATGGAAACCGCTTCCCTCTGTATCATAGTCCAAACTCTGTTCTGATTTCCTACTGTTGTCACTGCAGTATACCGCCACTCAGCAGTAGGAAACAGTCATCATGACCCTTCCTTCTACTTCTGTGTAAGAGAAAGGGGAATATAGGAGATGTTGCCTCCAAAAAGGCAGCAGCTATGTAACGGAGACATTATATGATCTTTCTCAAGCGGGTAGAAATGTGCTTGTTTTGAAAAGAAGATACTTCTTACAAGTTTATAGTAATACTATGATCTGTGCAACTACATTTTTAAATTTTTTTAAAAAATTCTGTATGTATTGACAAAGTTCCAAGAATTGTTCCAATTGCGGAGATCAAATTGGCTGGTCACTGTCTATTACTTTTTCATCACAAATTCAGCTGCAATAGTATTTCTAAGCTACTTTTCAATCTACCAAGGGCCCCAAAAGAAACTACAATTCAATAATGCAAAGTACACTTTAAAATGATCCAGATTGAAATTAAAATCTGTCAGAAGCATGGCAAAACACTGTATTTCTAGTTACTCGCCTAAAACTCACTGGAGATGAACTCCCTCCCTCAAAAATATTACATTTGAAGAGCTAGTATAGAAAAGGTATAGTCTTATAAACTCATGAATGTTCCCCAGTTGAGTGACTTCCAGGACAGTAATTTCTCATTTGATGTCTTCCATATACACTAGAACTGTTTCCTGTCTGCATTACCTTTCCAAGCTGCAGTCCTCAGATCTTGGAGATTATCTTGTTGGGGGAAAAACTGCATTGAAGAATGCTTGGGGAGGATTTTTAAATAATTTCCATAATGTTTGTCATACAGGCATGGTTCTATAAAACAGGGAGTTAAAGGAACGTCACTTATTTCAGTTAGAAAGGAGACAGTTTATAGTATTTTTATGCATGTTTTTCAAGCTTCTGCAAGCCTGATTTTTTTTTTCTTCAAACGTTTTGAATACTTCTGTGTCAAATTGCAATAGTCAAGCAGTTTCCAATTACACAGCTCTTGGTGGGGCTGAGATGCTTGATTGAGCTTGATTGATACTGTCAGCTGCTTTGCTACATAAGTTGTTTTGTAGCTAGTCTGCAGTCAGGGAGCTATGGTGAGTCAAGATTGACTCAAAGGTACCAAAAAAGAAAAGACCTTTCCTCTCCTGATACTGTCTAAATTTAGTACACGATTATAATCCATAGAAAATGTGCTGGTATAGCTCAGAATTTCTGCCATTGCGCAGTTCATCCAGAGCAAGGGTGTCAAACTCAAGGCTCGTGGCCCTCCTGAACTCCATTTTCACTGGCAGAGGGTTGTAGGAGACTGTCACAGCCAGAAACAATGCTCAGAAGCCCATTTTTACTGGCAGAGTGCTCGGGCCACCACAGGCGTTCTGACACGAGTGATGTCGAACTGGCCACCCCCACCTCTGAGGTTAAACACAAACCTGATGTGGCCCTTAGTGAAATCGAGTTTGGCACCCCTGATCTATGGCAAAGTTGAAGAAGTCTGGTTTAGTATATTGGAGTATTCCCCCCCAAAAAAATTTGTATGTCTTCCAAATGCATGGAGGCTTAGAATTCTTAGCAAGGGCAAAGGGATTCTGAAGTTAGAAGTCTGTAGATCTCGAAAATTCAGAGATTTGAATATCAGAAAATCATGATCTTGTCCTAAGAACCTCTACATTTCTTGTACTTCTCTACTAATTCCTGTTTGTCTTTTACAAGTAGAAAATAAATAAATAAAAGCTTTAGTTTTACAATTCCTGTAGATCTTCATGCAAAACTTTCTGCTGATTTCCTGAAAAGTGTAAAGTTCTTGAAAGATCTATCCCTGATACTGTCCCACCTAGTACTATACAGTATTCTTCCGATTGAATGGAAGATGGCACTAGCAGCAGTAATCTGAATTTCTTTTGCTTCTCTTACTCTAGTTGGTACTTTCCTTTCTCATTCACTTTGTCCATTTCTGTGGAGTCCTTCCTCCACTTTTAAATTCACAGTCTGGCTCCTCTCACATTAGAAAGAGAAGAATAGTATTCTATGAGCATCCTTCCTGTCCAATGTGCTGAGCAGAGAATTCAAAGGATGGGTTAACTCTGCCTTTTTGCTCAGAGACAGTGCTTTTAAGCTTTGCAGCCATGCCTCTCCAGTTTTTGACTCAGTCTTAGCCCAAGAGAGACATTTTAAAGAGACCTCTTCTGAGCAAAACGGCAAGGAGTTAACTTCTTTTCCCCAGGGACTGATCTAAGACTGTCAGAGAACTGCTTTAGAAAGGCAACATGTGGAATTTCATCAGGAGGGAAAATGTTCTGGTCATGCATGCGGCTTTTTTTATGAATAGAAAGTCTTTTTAAAGCAAACCGGGAGAAAGGAGAATATTTACCTCCCGGGATGTCCTGATTTGGGATTAGATTCTAATTTCTAAAAGTAGAATTGGATTGGTAGGAGAGGGAATGGATGATCTCTAATTCTCTAGACATGTACAGTCTCTTTTTTTCTAGGGGATGAGGTATAGGTATTGTTTTAGTTGGAGGTGGGGGAAATCATATAGCAATTTGATGGAAGAGCTAGACTGAAGTTCATTAATATTTTTCCCCTCTAAATTATAGTCTAAATAAGAAAGAAATAAGAAATAAGTTGAGAGCTGGTGATTAAAGCATCAGACTAGAAACAAAGAACTGAACTTTAGTTCTGCTTTAAACATGAAGCCAGCTGGGTCACCTTGGACCAGTCACTTTCTCATGTCCTTAGGAAGGAGGAAGCAAGGGCAGCCCACTTCTGAAAACCTTTACCAAGAAAATTGCCAGCTCTTGTCCAGGCAAACTCTGAGAACAGAACATGATTGAATGGAAGGGTTAGAAACAGAAAAGAAACAAGTTCTAATTAACCAAGCTAAGTTGTAAATCTATTGACAGTGCATCCTGTAAAAATTTAAAGACAATCCTGGTTTTTATTTTCCTAGCTATCTTAAACAGAAGAACCAGACCTTGTTGAATATGTCATAGTTGAATATCTGTCAAATCACCACTATGACATTACTATTTTTGAAATGTTGAGACAATATTTGGTAAACTAGCTTTTTAATTTCAGTTTGGGTATTTCAGTTCATAAATTAAATTGCCTTAATCATTCCTGCTTTTAAATGGCAAGTTGATTGTGTAAAGGTCTTATAATGATTATAGCTATGTGGATTAGAAGTATATGATAAGTATCCTTCATTTGTTTCTCCTCTGTTCTTCCAGGGAGCAGATGTCAACTGTATGCATGGTACACTGAAACCATTGCACTGTGCTTGCATGGTGGCTGATGCAGATTGCATTGAGCTGCTGTTGGAAAAAGGAGCTCAGGTAAGAAGTAGCACAAACCTTTTTAAAAACAAATTCAGGAAACCAATTAATCCAGTGGTTATAATTAGATTTATAAAATACTTTAATGGGATTTATCAAATACTTAATAGTGTAAGATTGGAGGGTATTTGATAGTGCTGTTGCCGGTTCTGAGGTTGAAAAATATTATATATTCTCAAAGGCAAAAACTGGGTTCTGAATAACAATACTTTGCCCTGTTGTATCTAAGGAGGATGTATATTTCAGAATCTCATATTCTCTTGAGATTTGTATCGCACCCATTGTTTTCAAATAGTGCTTTTGTTTTTTTGTCACTTATTTCTGTTGTCACAGAATTTTGTGTTTTAGTTTTCTCATCTGTTGTATTATGAATTAGTGAATTGGCTTCCATAATTAAGGAGAAAGCTTAATTCAACATCAGTTATTAGATCTAGAAAATTTCTTTATAATGAGAGAAAACACAGACATACCCCAATTTGAATGTGCAAAAAAAAATCATTGACTTCAAAATACATTATAAAAATACTGGGACATCTCAGCCTCTTAAGAGACCAATTGTATCACACAAATCACATCCTTTTGTGGAACCAGAGACAGGGAATTTAAGAACCACCTAGGCTAGATTAAGGCAAGGATTAATGCCTCCTGGTGTTAATAGCTAGTCAGGCGTCCCTACATAGAGCAATAATGAGATTGGCATAAATCATTGAGAACAGTGACCTATCAGAAAGATCCTATTTCTAAATGTATAGACAGGATACCACAGTAATTTCTTTGCAGATTTTTGAGGTTTGATCCAGATTAAGTAGTCAAGAAGGAAGATCTGTATTTTGAGAAAGACTGCTATACTGTACAAAGTGATGGAGAGTTCAGTCCTAATGGAAGCTTGAACTGAATGAAGGATTCCTCTATCCCTGTCATGGCGAGCCTATAGCACACGTGCAGGAAGTGGCACACAGCGCCATCACCATCCGTCACCCATTGCTCTTTCAGGTTCTGGCACTGGTCTCTGTGCACACATGCATGCCAGAAACAGGAAGACCAGGTGACCACCACGCATGCACATGCTGAAAACCAGACGCTCAGCTTCCCTTCACGAACATGCATGCCGGGGAATTGCTGTTCTGGTTTCCAGTGGCCCACGTGCACTCCCAAAGTTCACCAACACTGCTCTATCCCATTTTTGAATTTATTGGTCATTTTTTTTATAGCTCTTGATCACACTGAAAGCCTCTTCCCCCTCCTCCTCCTGTTTTTTCAGGTCAACGCCCTTGATGGCTACAATCGAACAGCCCTTCATTATGCAGCTGAGAAAGACGAGACTTGTGTGGAGATCCTTTTGGAATACGGGGCAAATCCCAATGCACTGGATGGCAATAAGGACACCCCACTGCATTGGGCTGCCTTTAAAAACAATGCCGAATGTGTCCGAACACTTTTGGAAAGCGGGGCCTTTGTCAATGCTCTGGATTATAATAACGACACCCCTCTGAGCTGGGCAGCAATGAAGGGCAACCTGGAGTGTGTCAGCATCCTCCTGGAGTACGGAGCTGAGGTCCGGATAGTCAATATGAAGGGGCAGACCCCAATTTCAAGGTTAGTTGCCCTGCTGGTCAGAGGACTTGGCACCGAGAGGGAAGATTCCTGCTTCGATCTCCTTCACAGAGCTGTTGGACACTTCGAATTGAGGAAAAACGGTGCAATGCCCCGCGAAGTTATGCGAGATCAGCAGCTTTGTGAAAAGCTGACCATGCTATGCTCTGTCCCAGGCACATTAAAGACGCTCTCGCGCTATGCTGTGCGCCACAGCCTGGGTATGCAGTTCCTACCAGACGCAGTGAAGGAACTGCCTCTGCCAGAATCTTTGAAAGAATATGTCTTGCTTAAATGATGGCTCCCTCTTTTTTTTCATAGGATTGTATTAACCACCACATTGGGGAGCCACGGTGTACCTGGCCTTTCAACTTTGCGGTAGTAGCATCAGTACAAAATAGATTTTACAGATGTAGCTCCAGGAGTCAAAAGCTGGTGTGACATCTGTGGTTTTGTCCAGTGTTTTCCCTTAGCTTCTTCATTTGCTATAGTAACCTTCTGACCTTTCTTTAGTGAAGGAGGCTAGGAAAAGACTGCTGGCTTCTTATGGCCAGAAGGCCAAAGTGAAGCAAACCTATGTTCCATCTCCTGAAGAGGACCACTTCCTAAATTCAGGATTTGACTTCTGTTCTCTGTGAAACATTCACAGAGCCAGTTGTCTCCTAGCACTGCAAAACTGAGGTGGCTGAAGAATGAAAACATTTCTTCCTTTAAACTCATTACAGGCATCAAAGCATTTGAGTAATCCAGTCTTCCTCTTAGTTTTAGGCTTCACTAAGACAGGCCGTCCATGAATTTCATTTTTTTTTGTTTATTGATAAATGATTCCCTTTCAGGAATGTAATGGCTTAATGAATCTGAATAAAGAAATCCCAGTGAGCTGATCAGCTCCTGTAGAGATTAAGGGCTGTTCTCTTTTACATTAGCTCCTTTGAGATTCTCGCATCCAGCTGCAGAGATGCTCAGAATTGCAAAAGCTCTTTTGGAAAAGCAAGAACATAGCATCCCAGCACTTTGGGGAACCAAAGCCAAAAAGGTTCTTCAGAGTGGGTGTGGATATGCATTTGGCCATTCTACTTCTTAAAACAGCCACATGATTCCAGAGAGTACCGATTTGCATTAAGGAAATGCAAATTGGGCTGGATTTAAGCGCACACTTGATGTGTCTTTAACTAAAATGCATAATTCTTCAGGTTTGCTTGGCTAGGGAGAGCCCAGGAAAAGACCCTGGTTTGTTAAGGAGAGGCGCTGCCAAGAGTCATGTGCATGCCAATGTGTGTGCGCGCATCCTTTCTCCAGGGCATCATTTGGTTTTAGGATCTTGAGTGCTGCACATTGTTAATTTGGATCATCTGTTCTTGTTGCTTTAGACCATCTATTTATATCACAGAAAAAAGTGATAGAAATCTAAGGAGATGATGAAGTGTGTTGCTTCAGCCTGGGTGAGGAATTTGTGACAAGATAAGGAGATGGGCCGGGTGAGGAAGGATCAAAAGTCCTACAATAAAAAAAGATGCGGTGTTTTTTTAAACTCATTTGTTTACAGTACTGATTTGTATGTGTGATCATAAAAAGTAACGTTCAGGATCAGGCTGACCGAAACCTGTAGCTGGATTAGCTCTCCATACTCTCACCTCATCACAACCATCGGTAGAAACTGTTGTCCTAGCAGAGGAAATTGAAAAAAAGTAACTCAGTGATGCTGGTTCTGGAGGCATACTAATGATCATGGGAGTTTTGTATCTTGCATAGGGATGAGGAAATCTTTTCTGCCAATGATGTATGAACTTACATATTTTATTCACTGTTTTAAAGCTTTCCAGAATGTTCTTTCACTTCCTGTACTTTGCAGCTCCAGACAAAGCTACTAGGCTCATATTGAGCCTAGCAACAATGGAACTGTCTAATATAGTCAGCTTCTGGTTTTCCAGCACATTTTTTATTATTGTACAGTTCTAGTGTGCCCAAGCGAAGAAATGCCAAAGAAAGTATTCATTTTTGAAAAAGTTAAGGCATCTTTTTAAATGTTTCAATGGGTTTCCCCATTGGACACAAGTTAAAATACACTATTCTTGCCATGCAATTATATTTGTAATTCTCTTATTTTGTGGCAGGCTTCTGTTGTTTCCATTGCCTTGATCTGTTTTAATGAAAATTAAAAATTGGGGGCGGGGGGGGGGAGAAGTCAAATTTATTAAGGTCTATATCTGCCATTTCTTAGAAGGTTGATCACTGTAAAGTTGCAGACATGTAAAATTGCACGTGTGTTTCTTTCACAAATAATTATCTTGGTTCAGACAAATGAAGCAGCATACTTATGAATGCGGGAGAGCTGAGAATACCCCCCCTCCCAATTCCCCCTTTAGACATCTGGAGCTTTAAGTTCCAAGACCGTCACTGAGCAAGTGCAGTGGCCTGGGTGTGTGGGCATTGTAATTACAACCACTGTTTTATCTGCTATTCAGTTTCAGAAAGGGAATTGTAATTTCTGACAATAAGCCTTTTTTTTTTGGCTATTCTCCCAAGATTGGAGTATTGGCTCTCACATTGATTCCTGGAGCGTCTCCTCTCTGCTCAGGATAGTATCCTGGCTTCCATTTTGAAGAAAGGGAGATGGGAATTAGAACCCTAAACAGCCATCTTGAAAATTAGGCAATGTGGGAATAACTATATTAATTGTCAAAATGTATTCTATGATTCTGGATTGTGGAATCTCCTCGATATGAACAGAGCCATCATTCTCTTCTAGATGTGTTTCCTTTCTTATTGCTCAAGCAAATTAACAACACTAGAATGCCACAGCTTACACCTTTCATACAGAAATAGGGAAATGAAAAAATATTCTCTACATAGAACATCTTCAGTTGAATAGTCGGCTGAAATATGTGTTTTTGAAATTTAGGTCCATATATACTGAAAAAATAGGTCTTGTTTTATTCAATATAAGAGTTGGGACAGAACCACTTGTAGAAGGAGAGGAGAAAGGAAGCAAAGTGTAACTATCTTGCTTTCTTTGCCTCAGGAAATCACTCTAGGATTTAGATTTTGGTTTAACCAAAACCCAGAAGCACCACTTTTCAGATTTTCTGCTGAACTGCAGCTGGACTAAGGCGATTTGGGAAACATTTCAAAATAATTTTGTTCTTTGTTTCATTCATAGACTTCTCCCCCAAATTTCAAAGGAATAATTCAGTATAAAATGGTTCTGTTTCTCCCTGCTATGTCTTCTCCTCCATATAGATCTGGACCTGCTTACAAGAAAAATCATGTTCTAAGCTCAAAGTACTCTTTTTGAAGTGCTTGGTTGTGGGGGAACGCTTGTTCAGTACGCAGATGACTTGGATATTAAAAGCTTCTTGATTAAATTTACATTGTACTGGAGAGTTTTTATTGTTGTTTATGTCATATGGTTATTTTTCTTCTTCTTGACTATCTGCAAGTTGACTGATTTCTTCCTGGTTAAGTCCTTATTTTTATATTCATAAGGTAGGCCAGCTCACATTCACCAGATGTGTGGGTACACTGATTTCTCAATAGTGATAATTCTGATTATGGAATTTTGAGAATTGAAATCTAAACTTGGGGATAGATGAACTAGATCAACTAGTTCAATGATGATAATTAAGTAGATTCACCAAACCAAAAACATAATATGAATGGGCCATATTGTGAGTGGGGTAGCTTTAGTGTAAGGGGCTAAATACATCCAAATAATAGGGAGATCCTTAATAGAAAAAGTACCAATCAACAACTGGATTTTGTTGAAAAAGTACCAATCAACAATTGGATTTTGTTTCTAAAGTTATTATTAAGGTATTTTGTAGGCCTGCATTCAATATTAACAAAAGTATGTATGGTAGATAATTCTGCTGGAGAAACCCACAAGGACTTAATTTAGGCATAAGAGCAAATGCTTATAGCTGTTCTTTTTCATTCATCTGGATTACACACTAAAGCCTGCATAATATTGATGGCTCTCCTTTTTTTCATTCACTGTTCAAATGTTGGGGGTTTTTTTTGTCCTGTTTGCTTCCTTGAGCCTGCTTTTAGGGTTACCCAGCATAGATTCCTGCTCTGCTGTAGGTTTTCCGGAGTATTCAGGAAAGTTCCACAGTAGCAGTGCCATAAACACTAAGGAAGAAAGTTGTGAGCATTGAGCTTAGCCATGCTAAAATGGTCTGGCCCTTCCTAAATTTAACAGTAGATATTACGGTGTCAGGAAACATCACACATGGGCTGGTTTTCTGCAACTGTGAACGGCCCAGGAAAATTAATGGATTACATGAGAGAAGAATATCCATCCACTGCAATGTAACTACCCAAGGAAATTATTCTCTTTTGGTAAAAAGTTTAAGCTTGGTGTTCCGCCTGCCCATTCTTCCACTTCAAAAAATCAAGATTGGGGAAAGGGCTTTTTCCATGTTGTATCTTTGGAACTTTTTAACCACCTTTATTTTTAAATGCATTTATTTTTAGATCATGATGGCAACCATTCTGTTCACACTTTAATCTTATGGTAGTTACTTTGTTGGAGAACAGTGAAAATTCTCTAAACTGGCCAATTTACTTACTAGTCCATAGAGATTTTAGTCCTACTTCCATGTACAAAAATGACCAAATGTGCCATTGCCAGTCTTCTGAAAGCCTCTTCTAAAACTACATGTTTACCCAGTCATCGCTTCACAAAAGCTGCCCTAATACATAGATTTCACCAAGTTAATGTCCACATAAGCATTTACCCAAGGAGCAAAACTCTTATACTTGTAGACACACACAGTGTCTGATACTTCTGTCATATGTAAAAAAAAAAACAGAGGATTATTATATACTGCCTGTGCAGTGTTCCTTTTAAATCAATTTGGAGTTTGCTATGGATAAAAAAGGAAAAATGTGATTGGGAATGGAAGAGACAGCAATGACAAGATATAGCATTCAGCAATGACTAGATCAGTGTTTCTCAACCTTGGCAACTTGAAGATGTCCAGGACTTCAACTCCCAGAATTCCCCAGCCAGCGAATGCTGGCTGGGGAATTCTGGGAGTTGAAGTCCGGACATCTTCAAGTTGCCAAGGTTGAGAAACACTGGACTAGATAGACTGGGTCTGTCACTTGCAATAAAGAGAATGGTAACAAAATGAAATAGGGAGCAGAGAGAGTACAACTTCTAGTCAAATAGTTCCTGTTTTTTTATTTTGAGCACTTGGATAAGTTGACTATTTGGGGATTGGCATTCAGATGACAAAAGTTTTAATAATAATCATTCTGTCTGGTTTGAATGATGACCAGATGAAGAAAATTCTATTGGAAGTACATTCCTGGAGCAGCAAATCGCCTTGGCTAACCTTTCCGAGATTGGCTAGGAAAATCTGGCAGCAATAGTCCATTCCACTCTGGAGAAAGTGGGCCCAGAAGCATATGATTATATAATATTAATAAACCTAAGAGTGACCCTAGCTATTATCCAGATGGAAAGGCCAGCAGGGAGCCTACCATATTTAAGCAGCCTTGAACTTTCCAAGAAGGTAAACAACAGTAGAAAGTTTTGCCAAGTATCAGCTATGGTGTGATGTAATGATATGCCATTTATAATAGGCACGTGGCTCCAATTACAGTACATGACACTAGATAGAAAGCTGCATGCTAACCTGGGGAAGGAACTGAGGATTTGTAATTTATTTAGAAGTCTCCTTATATGCCATGACTGAAAGAGGAGGAACAGCTACACCTGCTTTGCTAATTCTTCACAGAGCACCTTCCCCAGATACTCTCTTTCGAGTGATGTGCTCCAAGTGGGCAGTCTCTGAGGTGTCCAGCTCGATCTTGTACTTGGCTAGAATCTTCAAGATGGGACGAAGCTTCAGCCACCACTGCGTTTTGGGGATGCGATGACTGTCGAAGAAGGATAAAGGTAAGGTCAGTATCTTCATGGCAGAGTCATCCATACCAATGCAATATATTTTGTGGCTGCAGCTACTATTTCCTTGAGAGATATTTTCCTGAGGTTGGGAAACTTGTAGGAAGCTATGACAATGGGCATGTTCACAAAGTTAAAACATAGTGGTCTAGCAGTTAAGGCACCATACTAGAAATGTGGGGATCATGAGTTCAAATCCCACCTGGGCCATGAAAGCCAGCTGGGTGATCTTGGGCCAGACACACTCTGTCCAACCCACCTGTTATTGAGGGGAAAACAGGAGGAGGAAGGAGCATTAGGTACTGTATGTCCCAAAGATGTTTTTTTCAAGAGGCAACTATACTTTCTAGTTTTCTTTGAAGATGTTTCACTTCTCATCCAAGAAGCTTCTTCAGTGATTAAGTGCAGAACCTGCGCAGAGGGTTGGGGAGGGGGGGGGGAACCGGCCTACCGGACATTCCGGAAGTCCAGAAATGGGCCTGTTTCCGGCCTCCAGAGTCGGGGGAAGTGGTTTTCGCCCTCCCGGAGGCTCAAAGAAAGCCTCTGGAGCCTGGGGAGGGCAACCCCACCCCCCAAGGTGCAGGAGGCTGACTAGGGCACGCCCCCCATGGCCATGCCCACCCAGCAACAGGGCAGTGAACTTGTTGCTGCAATTTTTGAAGCCCACCCCTGCTCCTTATCCTTTAAAGTGCCTCACTGCAGATTAAGCCTGAAACATTTGTTCCATTGTCAGAAATATTTCCAACTTTAGCCTTCCCTTTCCTCTTGCCGTTTTTTAGATTTCTGAACCTCTGTTCACCACAAAACGATCAGAAGAATAGGTGACACAGTAAATGCCTACGGCAGTTGCATACAAGTTATGTTATATTTTATTCTAGCAATGAGGGCTAGAAGCTATTTTTAAAAGATTCTTCAGTTCCCAAGTAATATCGTGGATTTACCTAACTTTCCATGGTACACTTTCTGATTTTTCCTACAGAGAAGACTTACTCAAAATCTGTTTCTTCTTTGAGTTCCGTGATGGGCTGAAATACCAGGGCGCGTCTGCGCATACCCAGCAGGCAAGCTGAATCAGCAGTGTTGGCAAAGATACGACCTGCAAAAGGAGCACATAAAATGTTAACATTTTTATGGAAACTTGAGTTTTTATCCTCCTAATGGAAAGCATTTATTTTGAAACATTGGGTGTAAAGCGATACATTGGAATTCAGCAGAAAAGGCTTCCATTAAAAGACAACAACCTGGAATTAAGTACTGCATCGGGCTTTGAATATATGTGAAAAGATCTTAAGCACTGACTTTGATCAATAGACCCCAAGATTCAAGACCATCAATAGATGGTATCAAACCTCTGGTGTAGATCCTCCTTTGCCTACTGTAATTGATTTCTCCCCCAGAGGTAGGATTCAGCCTGTTTGGACCAGTTTTGGTGAACCAAATGCTAATTTTGCATCTGGTTCACCGAACTGGTAGTTGCAAGGATTGGCTGGTCCCACCCACCCCTCCTCTCCCAGAGTCCCCACGCGGCCCGTTTCGGATGCCAGGTAAGTGCAGGGCCTGTGCGGAGGCTCTTGGAGGGCCTCCAGAGTCCAAGGGAGGCCATTTTTGCCCTCCCAGAGGCTTGAGGAAAGCCTCTGGAGCCTGGGGAAGGCGAAAACGCCCCCCCTCCCACACCGTGGTGCAGGAAGCCGAGTAGGCCACGCCCACCATGGCCATGCCCGCCCAGCAACCAGGCAGAGAACTGGTCACTAAAATTTTTGAATCCCACCCTTGTTCTCCCCTACTCTGTTTATTACCAACACAAGTGCGGCTGCCCACCAATCTAAGAGGCAATTCAATGGAAAACTCCTACATACCATGTCTGGAGCATTCTTTGATCTTGCCAGACATCCATGCCACAGCTTTGGCACCCATTTTTGTTCCAAAGTTTCGGTCAAACGGAGTCGGTGACCCACCCTGTGAAGGTAGAAGGAGAGTCATGTTAAATTAGGGGTTAAAACTTTAGAGTTATGAAAGTGTGATGAGGACAGTAGCTTGAAAATCTTTGGGTAGAAAGAACTGCAGGGATGGACAGGTAAGGAAACAGGGTTTAGTGGGCTACTGGGGCTTTTCTGCCCAAAAATACTGATTACAGTAGGTGAGTTCACAGAGAGTGTCAAGTTTGATCTTTCTGATGTACCTGTTGCATATGTCCCAAAACGTTCTTTCTGGTATCAAAGACACCTTTTCCTTCCTCTGAATACAAATTATATATGAAGTCTGTGGTATAGTTTTCATTGCATTTTTCATTCCTGGAAGTGAAGAAAAGAGGCATTCATGTGGCAGGAAAACATAGATTTGACTAAATAAATAGCCCATAAAATGAAAAGTGTTTTGGTATAATGCCATCAAAAGGACATTTTATTTCAGAATGTTATTGACAACTTTTGCATGTGCTTCTGTCTGTC